TAGCGGAGGGGGGCCAGGTGAACTCTGACCTGCAGGAACAGATCATCCAGCTCACCAAACACGTCAAGTCCATTCCCGAGCTACGCAGAGATCTCAACAACCTACAAAATCAGAGAAATAACATGGACCGAAAGATTAAGCAACAGTCAGAACAAGCAAGAGGTACAGACTTTTACTTTAGTTTAAAAAAATGATTATACATGAACAAAGACAGTGTGTCACCAATGATATTTTTCCGCAGCCAAAATGAACGATATTACAAGACAACTTCTTGGTGGTGTTGTTGAAGAGGAGGTTCTTTTGGGGTAATCCAAATATTTTACCTTTTCACTTTTTCTCCTGTAGTTGTTCTGTATCTCTTTAGGCATTTAATCTCACATTGTTTCTCTGAAGGCTAGCTCCAGACAACTCTGAGAAGATCTATGAAATGGAAGATTTGCTGGAAGCATTTGATGGCCTGCAGAAAGCTACCAGGTTTTGTTTTTAATGACAACCAACGCAATCCGTTCATTTCATTTATTGTACCTGTGTGACAAACCTTTGTTTGCACCTTTGATGGCAGAATAATGGAAAACCACCAAAGGGAGCAGAAGGAAAGCTATGAGAGCCAAGTGGAGGGCTTGAAATTGAAAGTGGACCACCTTCAAAATGAGAACAGCAAATTGCAAAACCTGTTCCAGGAGAAAAGTAACGTCAACGAGAACATTCGCCAGGAGGTGTCCAGGCTCAGCAGTGAGAACTCAGTGAGTTATTGGATTCCTTATCCCATATTTAATGTCTTGCGATAGTTGAGTTGCAGAACATATCGTCATTTTTGCTTTCCCTTGTTTGATGTGATGCACAGTTTATACCGGAGCTGAAACAGCAGGTTTCAGAGCTGCAGAGACAAAAACAAGAATTAGAGGCGCATGTAGAGGAGAAGAGCAGAGAACTAGAAGGTAAATCTTAGTATTTGTTTTTCCAATTATTTCACCATGAAGCTCTTTTGCAGAATAGTATTTTACTTCTTCTGTTTATTTTCTTGTCCATGTCATCTGAAAGAAAAATCTGAGGAGATCACTAATGTTCTTCAAAGGAAGATTAAAGAAGAGAGCTCACAACGCAGGTAAAAACTCTAAAACTGGAGTGAGTTTTTTCTATTTAAGAAGTGTTGATCATATCTGAGTCATCCTGATTTCTGCTGCTTTTTTAGACACTTTGAGGAGAAAGCTGAAGAGCTGGAGGAGTTGAAGAGGGAGCTTCATTCCCAAGTAGAGGATCTGGAAGAGGAGAACAATCACTTGAAGAGACAGCTGCTGATGGAGAGCGAGTCCAAGAACAAACTGAGACAGGAGACTTCACTCTTAACTGCTGAGAATATGGTGTGTGTGTGTGTGTGTGTGTGTGTGTGTGTGTGTGTGTGTGTGTGTGTGTGTGTGTGGATGAATAAAGGGTTAGAGTACGAGTATGTGAATGCATGTCTTATCTGCATAAAATTCTACTTTTCTTTCAGGACTTTGAAGAGCAGCTTGACCAGAGAGACAGATTAATAAAGAAACTCCAGATTCAAATAAAGAGCCTGGAGACGTCACAGAAAGGTAGAGCTGTGACTTGTACATCTGCCTTGTAAAGTAAATCGAACTTCTCCATGATCATCACTTTAATGTTTCTTTCACAGCGAAGCAAACGTCTACGCCTACCATTCCCAAAGACTACCTCGGCATGTTGGAGTACAAGAGAGAGGATGAACCCAGGCTCATTCAAAACATCATTCTGGGTATTTGCTCTCTGTAGTATTTCTATTTAGCTGATATAGTCACATTAAACCTGTGAATGTTATGAGTTTGTCTGGTATAGCGTCTGTGTTTGAGCTGGAATAAATAGTAACTGAAACTAGTTAACTTAATGATGCCACATTCTTCTCACAGAGCTGAAGCCCAAAGGTGTGGTGGTCAATATGATCCCCGGTCTGCCAGCTTACATCCTCTTCATGTGCGTCCGCCACGCTGACTATCTGAACGACGAAGCCAAGCTCAAGTCTCTGATGAACGCGACCATTGGTGCTATCAAGAAAGTCATCATGGTGAGGTTCATTCTCAGTCTATTAGCCTTTATCTCTGCTGTAGATTTGCTAAATAAATAATAGATATAATCCAAAAGCTATTATTCATAACCGTATCTAAGATTAGGTCGCTAGTGTGTTGGCAGCAGTTTAGTTTACTTTAATTATATCAGTTTGTGACATTGATGATCTGAAAAAGATAAACAGCCATCAAAAAGCAATAAATATCAATCTCTTGCTGAAAATAAATAAAAGCAAATGCAACTGACATATTTTTTACTTTCAGGGTCACCACAAAGACTTTGAGTTGCTGTCGTTCTGGCTCTCAAACACGTATCAGCTCCTCAACTGTCTGAAGCAGTACAGCGGAGAGGAGGTCTGCATTTACTGTATTTAATGTTGGTTTTGTTTTTCTATAATGTCATATACAGTTGCAGGCCTATTTTGACATTCTCTTTCTCTTTTTGCTTTCTCTTCACAAAAGGAGTTTATGAAACAAAATACTGCTCGCCAGAAGAAGAACTGCTTGCACAATTTTGATTTGTCAGAACACAGACAAATCCTCAGCGACCTGGCCATCCACATCTACCATCAGTTCATCACGATCATGGAAAAGAGCCTCACTCCTGCTATTGGTATTTTACAGAGTTTATCCTTATCACACACAGATTTTCATACTGTTCAACCTTTATAAGCAACCTAAAATGTCCTGCTGTACTTTCTTGTTCGACAGTTCCCGGTATGTTGGAGCACGAGAGTTTGCAGGGGATTTCTAGTATGAAGCCGACGGGCTTCAGGAAGCGATCCAACAGCATCTACGAGGACTCAGAGACTTACACCATCTCCTCCATCATTCAGCAGCTTAATGGCTTCCACTCCACCATGAGCCAACACGGCATGGAGCAGGGCCTCATCAGACAGGCTGTCAAACAACTGTTCTTCCTCGTCGGTGCGACCACCCTCAACAACATCATGCTCCGCAAAGACATGTGTTCCTGCAGGAAAGGGATGCAAATCAGGTCTGTGCAGAGGTGGAGAAAGAAAAGTAGAAGTACTGATTTAACTTCTTTACTCAAGTAAAAGTGAAAAAGTACAGGCTCTGAAATGTACTCAAAGTATAAAAGTACTTTTTCTGAAGGAAGAGGACATTTCTACCGGCTGTTTCTGTGCAAAGCTGAAACTTCAAATGAGGTCGACTCTCCTTTTCTTTTCTGTTTCCTCCTGTTACGTTGTCTTTTACGTAGTTTTCAGCGTTTTTGTCATGATATGTCTGTCATGTGTGATATGCACCCATCCTAATTCTGGGAAAGCGTGCAATGATGCAAGATAATAATAATCCAAAATTCTACTAAGGCGCATTAAAACTAAAGTAATGAGCCTGTTTTGAAAGTGTAAGGAGTAGAAAGTACAAATATTTGTGTAAAAATTAAGGAATGTTGGAGGAGTAATAGTATAAAGTTATACTCAAGTAAAGTATAGATACCTGTAAAAATTACTTAAGAATGGTAACAAAGTATTCTTACTTTGTGACTTCCCATCTCTTGGTCTATGTATTTTTTGCAGACAAAAATGAGCTGATAGCTTTTCTGTTTGTTTAGGTGCAACATCAGTTACCTGGAGGAATGGCTGAAGGAGAAGGAGCTGCAGAGCTCTAATGCTATAGACACTTTGAAGCCGTTGTCTCAGGCCGCCTGGCTGTTGCAAGTCAACAAGTCCACTGACGACGACGCCAAGGAGATCACTGAAAAATGCACTGAACTCAACTCTGTTCAGGTACTTTATTCAAGACACACATACAGTATTTTTGAGGTCCAGCATTGATGTGAAACAAAACTCTCATTCAAATTTGTAGATCGTCAAGATTTTGAACTCCTACACACCCATTGACGATTTTGAGAAAAGGGTGACGTCGTCATTTGTCCGCAAAGTTCAGGTGAGCTCTCTTGTTCATTTTCAGATTTTAATGTGTGGAAATTGAATTTGTTCACCTGCCATACTTACTCATCCAACTCACTAAATATGTAAATCTGCCTCTTGTTGCAGTCATTACTACAAGATCGCGAAGGGTCCACGCAGCTGATGCTGGACTCAGATTATCGTTTCCAGGTCACGTTTCCTTTCTGCTCGTCCTCGCAGGCTCTGGAGCTGCTGCAGGTCCCGAGCAGCCTTCATCTGAGTTTCCTAACCAGGATCTGACACCAGCCAGCCTTTGACCTTTCTCCTCCTCATGACTTATTCAACAGTCAAGTGGCCTTTAGCTGTATCTTATTGTATATATAACTATGTAAAACACTTTTAATAAACAATGTACACCAGATATTTAAAATGTAGGGCTGTGGCCATTAAAATGTTTATGATTACTTGGATTGTTGTGTTTTATTTCTTCAGATATTGTTTAATTTTATTAGAGCTGTAACTAATCAATTAATGTATTAATTAATCCACAAAAGATCCAAGTTTTCCAGGGTACTGTTTTTTTTATTATTATTATAAACTGAATATCATTTATCTGAAGACAGAAGCCCTAAATGTAATTTTCCATTATCAAGATGTAAATGGTGTTTCAAAGAATTTGTCTTTGCTTTTTAATTTAGCTGACTTAAAGGCAGTCAAATAACCTCAGTGTTAAGATGTGAAAGTGGAATCAATAAAACTAATTATTTTGAATCATTCACTCAAAACAGAGGATTATATAATTGTTTTTATATATTTCTTTAATTATAGGTTTCCTGTAGCAGCTATTTATTGTTATACAACTGCCTAATAATGATTGCATTGAAATAAACCGACTGTATATTTATCTGCTGCTTCCACAGCACAGTGTTATTTTTTCCATGTCGGCGGCATTTGAATTCATTAGCTGTGGAGTTGTGAGGCCGTGTTGCTGCTGAGGATGCAACCCGTGCGGAGCAGCAGCATCACCGGGATACAGGACCCTCCTCCTCCTCCTCCTCCTCCTCCTCTTCCTCTGGAAACTGGAGGAGCATCTTCTCCCTCTGACGTCATGACAGCAGCATCAGCTGTTAGCTCTGTTTTAAGCCTTTTCGCTGCCGATCGCTGCCTGCACTGAGGAAATATAGGCCTATGAGATCCCCTCTAATCCCTGAAATGGCGACACAGGAGGTACAGCTGAACGAGACTCTGGCCCATCTCAAAACGGAGTCGGATACGCTGAAGACGAAGCTGGAGGAGGAGAGAGCGAAGCTGCACGATGTCGAGCGTGAGTGCTGGAAAATAATGGAGAGGCCTCGATTCACCTCTGCGTTCACAGTGTGACTGGACAAATCACCGCAAATATCTCAGTATTTATAAATATATATATATATATATATGTGTGTGGATGTATTTTAGCAGAAGGTCAGATGATGGCAGTTTTACAGGGATGCGGATTCGTCGGCGCTGATTATTGACCTGACGTTACCTCTGATTTGACAGGCGACTTAAAAGCTGTTTGTTTGCCTCCCCATTTTACAGCCCAGTGCTTTCATCTGAATTCTTTCCATGTAGTGGTTTTGGTCCAATCATGTCTCGGCAATAACCTGAACAGTAGCTGAGATGTTAAACAAAATGTGGGGAAACAGGCTATTTGTGGTAAATGTTTCATGATATGTCCACAGGAGCTACAAGAAGAGAGAATAATTAAAGATTAATACAATATATTCCTCTGTTTAACATAGGCCAACTGTAGTTTAATCATTATTACTGCTGGGAATAATCAAGGGTGTATGCAGTAGAGGGTTTAATATAATGTACAATGTGTGTGTGTGTGTGTGTGTGTGTGTACAGTACATCAGGTGGCAGAAAAGGTGGAGGGACTGGGTCAGTTTGTAATGAAGACCCGGAGAACTCTGAAGGGACACGGCAACAAAGTTCTGTGTATGGACTGGTGTAAGGACAAGAGGAGGATCGTCAGCTCCTCACAGGTCACACACTCTCTGCTCCTGTGTATCTGCTCTGATTTTAGAGAGCCGGTTTGTTTTTGTACACGTTTGTTTAAATTCTGCTAATGTCTGATCTCTTGATGCAGGATGGAAAAGTGATTGTATGGGACGCTTTCACTACCAACAAGGTAACTCTTCTTTTTCAGTGTGCAACTATTTTATTACATAATGAAAGATCATTTAAGTAAAATACTGAGGTTTTTTTTTAGAAACACTTTCACATTTTCTTACCACAAGCTTGTTACAAACCATCAACGATGCTCCCTTACACCAAACCAACCCTCTGAACTTGGTCTATAGAGACTCCCCAACCTATTTGGCTTGTGAGGGAGGGATTTTCCTTCTCAGATTGTTTTATTTGAAGGATTTTATTGTCTCTGAAAGGATAATAACTAGTATTTAGTAACTGGTATTTCCCAAGATAAAAGCAAAAACAAAGAAGTGAGATGGAAATTTGAAGGAAAATAATGATGTGTGTAGCTTAACAGGGGGTTTATAGCTATCATTAGTAACTGGAAGATAGTGTTAGACAAAAACATCTGTTAAAACTCTAATTGAGAATATTACTTTCCCCAATATCATGTAGAAAATCAAATCTATGAGGCATAATAGATGAGGCACATTTTTATGTCGAGGATGGAGGGGAAGGGACACCAGAAACTGCTATCAGAGTTGAACATTGGCCACAAGAATGTTTTATAAATAGATTTTTTTTAACAAACTGTAACATCGCTAATGTCTAATTATGCCTAATGAATTTGATTCATCTCAGTGTCCCGGAGCAGCTCATGCGGCTCATGCAGCTTTGTCTTTTGATGTTTATTAGGAGCATGCTGTGACAATGCCGTGCACCTGGGTGATGGCCTGCGCCTACGCCCCCTCTGGCTGTGCTGTAGCTTGTGGGTGAGTGTTTTGCTACTCGTGACGATCCCAATGTGGTGTGTCATCTGCTTGGTTTTTGTCTCTTTTTTACTTTGGTAAACCTGGGTTATTTTCTGTCACAGAGGCCTGGACAATAAATGCTCAGTGTATCCTCTGTCTCTGGACAAGAATGAGAACTTGGCTGCTAAGAAGAAGTCGGTGGCCATGCACACAAACTACCTGTCAGCCTGTAGCTTCACCAACTCGGATATGCAGGTGAGAAAATTCACCACAACACGCAAAACATCCCCCCCCCAAAAAAACAGAAGCAGCAGAGTAAAATGTTTATAGAGGTAGTAAGTACTACACTTTAGGTTCCTGCAAACATGGCTGCTTTTCTAGTCGTCACTATTTCTCTCTCATTATTAATCAGAAATCACTGCCGTCCATATTCCAGTGAAAAGAGCTTTCGCACTTTGTTAATAATTCACGGCAGCTAGTTGCTTCTGGTTTGATATCCTGCTCACGTGACATTTCACACAGCAAAGACAATCCATTTATAGCCCGAACTTCAGAACAGCCATTACTCTTCCTCCCTCATTCCCTGCTTGTATTAAAGATCCTGACTTCCAGCGGGGATGGGACGTGTGCATTATGGGATGTTGAGAGTGGGCAGTTGTTGCAGAGTTTCCATGGACACGCAGCAGACGTGCTTTGTCTGGACCTGGCCCCCTCCGAGACTGGAAACACATTTGTTTCAGGGGTGAGGACACCTCCTTCTCCACCACTTTCACTACAGCTTGTGACTATTTAAACTGAATTATCTCAGATATTTTGTGATATTCTGCATTATTCTATGTTATTGCAGGGCTGTGATAAGAAGGCCAATGTGTGGGACATGCGTTCAGGACAGTGTATTCAGTCCTTTGAAACTCATGAATCAGACATAAACAGTGTGCGGTGAGTGATTTGAAATGTCTCACTCAGCTTTGAGTTCTGAAGTATAGAGATAAACAATTTTTTGTATTATTGTGCTATATATAAAAACTGATATTTTAAATCCCCTATGTATGAAATATTTAATCTTTCAAATTATTCTGTTGTTGTTGGAAGACAAATTAAATAATCCAGTTAAAATTGATGAAAACTGTCTGTGTGGCTCTTAGACTATTTGTTCTCTGCACCAGGTCTTCTTCATATTACCACTGGGAGTTACTAAACGCCAGATATATTCAGATCTTTCACACAGGGGCTTTAAGAGAGTAATCTGTTCCTCACTGTGGCTTTCTTTTTTTTTAATAGATACTATCCCAGCGGAGATGCGTTTGCATCTGGATCAGACGATGCTACAGTAAGTAATCTGATCTTTACCACTCAAAGTGTAACTAGAAACATATTGAAAATTATCTTTAAAATTCAAACACTGACCTTTGTTACAGTGCCGCCTGTACGACTTAAGGGCAGACAGAGAAGTGGCTATTTATTCCAAAGACAGCATCATATTTGGGGTCTCCAGTGTTGATTTCTCTCTCAGTGGTAAGAAATATATATACTTATACTTTGTCACTTCAGTATTGTTCATCATTACAGTTAAAGCTCCAGTAGGTCACTTTTATATACATTTTTTTGTCATATTTGCTGAAACTTTCACTGTATCCTGACAGTAGTTCTAGTGCTCCTAATGGCATTCCTTAGAGTCCACTGCAGCTGAATGAAAACAACCAATCAGAGAAAGATAGTTGATTATTAATTCTTCCCAGGCTGTCAAATGCTGACACATTAGGTTGCTGGCTTAAAGATAGTTAATTATTGAGTCTCGTTAAGCTGGTGGATTCTTTCAAATGCCATTAGGAGCACTAGGAGGAGCCAGAGGAACCTGATTGTTTCACAGATTATCTGTCTCATGTTCTACTGTCAGGATATAGTGAAAGTTTCAGAAAATATGACAGAATTAATTGCTGCAGCTTTAACGGCCAATCAAAGCTTACAATTATTTACCATATTTTCTATTGTAGAGGTACCCTGTTAAAAGCATGTGTGTTATTTTATCTTCCAGGACGGCTACTGTTTGGCGGCTACAACGACTACACCATAAATGTTTGGGATGTTCTCAAAGGAACGCGGGTCTCTATCCTGTTTGGACATGAGAACCGTGTCAGTACGCTGCGTGTTTCCCCTGATGGGACGGCTTTCAGCACAGGTTCCTGGGACCACACTCTTCGGGTACGAGATCTCCGTTATCATTGTCTGATCTGATGACTTTGCAACCTTTCTGGTTATGTCTTGTAATATCCAATGTTTATTTTCCTTCTTCCAGATCTGGGCTTAAGGACGAAGACACAGAGGAATTAATGGTAGACAGACTTAACTGTTTGCTAGAGTACAATCACAGACTCAGTTTTGGTTGTACATAGGGCATATCAATAGCATTGTATATACTCCAGTTTCATGGCCAGGGTAGATTTACATATTCCAGACAATAATTAAACCAAATGGCACGCTTGTATTACATTAGGATTGAGAGTAAATTTCACAGACGTACATATGGTTACAACTTAAGATGTAAAATGTATATTGCAGAAAACAACATTAGTGACTAGCATTCGTCTACGATAGAAGTGACACAATAAAGTGATGTATTGTATGTGCCCACATAGGGGACAATACTCGTTTGTTTATTTGTTTTTGCACATAAAATAATGGAGGAATGCAGTCCATTGAAGAAAATGGGATATAAGGGAACAAAATACATCTCTAGGAGAAGCAGAAGGGTTTATATGAAGGTTTGACTCAGACTGAGAAAAGAGAGATGGGAGGGAGGGGATTTGTGGCATCTCTATAAATGTTAGGGATAGTGAGAATGATTAGATTGGCTTGTAGAAATTAATCAATATTAGTTAGTTTGAAGCGAATAAAAAATAATATTGGATACAAAGGAGCATTGGAATAAAATATTATGAAAGAAGTACAAAATTGTAGTTTTATTAAAGATGGAAATAGTGAATTCATGTATTTTTATTTCCACACTGTGTGCCCAACAAGCTGTCTACATTCTTCACAGCAACTCACCTGCCAATATTATTCTAATGTAAAGAAAGCACATTTACAGATAAATATAAAATACATGATGTTGATCTTTCATCCCTATGGTTTTAAATCATGGTTTACTTCTGTTTGTTTCCAGCCGTGGAGGCCACTCATTGCTCCACGTGCTCACCGAGTTACTGCAGACACCCTGAACCCTGTGGTACCCCGCTAGATATCTACATATACAAATGTTTAAATTCTTAGAATGTACTCCTTTTCATGCAGTTGTCCAATAATCAAGTAATTTCATATTTACTGTAATTATTTTATTGTAGTTTAGTGTACAGTTATACAAGGGACTGTTTATCAAAGTATTACAAACATAATAAACTGAGTTTTGAATATCACCACTTTCTCGTTGTTTTTATTAACTCAATCTTATTGTTTCACAGTTATTTTATTGTCAGTCTAGTAATATTGAGACCCTGTCAGCCATTGTCTTTGTCACAGGTTTTTAAATAAAGTTTCCAGAAATACAAGCGGAAGTGACGTCACGAACGAGGCTCGGCAGTCTGCTGAATCAAAACAATGGCCGACTGGCGACCCAGCGGCTTGCCTCTTGTGGCCCTTTTAAATGTTTAACAGACACACTTTCTCTGACTCTGGTTACGGAACTCTCTCTGGGATGGACAGATGAGTCAATGAGTGTATTTTGAAAGACAAACGCCAGCTGCTTGGTCCCGCTGTTCGCCGCCATAATGAGCGATGTTGTGGAGAAGACCCTGACAGCTCTGCCGAGCCTCCTGTCTTTAGACTCTCAGCCTGGATCCGCAAAACTGTCCTCCACCTCCAAACTGGGAAACCTCATCAGGGGGATCACCGAGCTAACGTCCAAACACGTGAGTCCGTCCTGTGAAAGCTTCAACAGCTTTCAACCACTGACTGTATATGTAAGGTTATGTTTATGTGTTTTTATCATGTGTTGGTGCGTTCAAGTGCTTCAGCTGCCAATATGCTGTTCATTCACAAACCGTGTTGCACTTTTATTGTCAGTATTTTGTATTCATTTGTTTTGTACAGCATTATGTTGAGTACATGTCTGAGCTGATTGTATTTTTGAATGTTTTCTCAATAAAGATAAAAAAATATATATTGCAGGGAAGTTAAATCTGGAGGGCCTGACATGATGATGATGATGATGATGATGATGATGATACTGTATTGTGAGATCAGGTTTTTCAGAAAAGAGAAGAAACAAAGATACATAAGCCTGCAGTTACCATACAAACACAGAAGACAATATTCAAACCCCTTCAACATGTATTTGATCTGGGATTAAGCTCCAGGTTTAATTTTAGGATTGACTGGTGGACAAAGGAGTGCTTCAGTCTAACCTTGTTAAATCGAGGAACCCTGTATCTCTGGTTTGATGGTAACAGTTTATATTCATTATTTAGGACATGGTTTGGCTCATAGACAATGTTGTTAGCCAGCCATAATATATTATTATCGTATGCTGATTCATAGAGTTTCTCAGCCGATTCTCAAGTCTTTGATGTTGTAATATCCCCAAAACACATTGATGCACCAATCAGAAATGGTTTATAGTAAATGGTAACAGCTAAATAGAGTTGACTCACTGTAATGCATTGCCTTTCTAAAACAAGTCTTTACAATTTGATTCTCATTGTGCACTGACTGTAGACTGTATGAATAAAAAATGGACAAAAGTTTCAGTGACGTCACGCATTAGTTTGAGTTGTTGTGAAGCTCAGTGTGGTCGGTTTGCGTTGGTGGTGTGCAGAATAAGATAAGTACCTCCCAGAGCCCCATTTCAAATAACCACAACTATCCCTTTATCATCAGCACAGAGTAAAGAGAAGAATTATTACCCATTATAGTCTTAAATCTATAAAGCTTCACTGGCTCTGGTAACATGAATATTAACTTCTCTCACTTTCTTGAAATAATTAGTGACATATGTATCTTGCAGCAGCTCTCTGTAATATCCTGATAATATGTGATTCATGGGCTTTTAACCTTTCTAAGACAGCAAATAGAACATGGTAGTACCAACCTTAGCAGCCTCAGTATTTGATCTTATTATAATTTGTTTCCCCTGTTCAGGAGGAGGAAAAACTAATTCACCGTGAACTAGCGTCCATCAAAGAACAGGTGTCCTCCCCCAACACCTCCATGGTATGATTCTCCTGATATTCCAGTTCGGTCTTTCACTTTCGGTCTGGTGACGCCTGAAATCACTGATGTGTTTACTTTTCTCTTCAGAGGCAGATGAAGGAGCTCATGGTGCGAGCGATCTACTGTGAAATGCTCGGTTATGAGGCTTCGTTCAGCTACATTCACGCTATCAAACTGGCTCAACAAGGCACTGCTCTGGAGAAAAGAGTCGGTACGTTCTTGTTCAAAAAAAGCTTACTCATTACTCAGCATTCTTACCCACTGATTCTGCAATACTCACTTAGTGTCATGATCAACACAACACATGTTTTTTTCATCACAACAACGTTATTGACTTCATCTTCTGACACTGCTTTGGGCTTTGCAGGTTATCTAGCTGTGTCTTTGTTTCTGAACGAAAGTCATGAGCTGCTTCTTCTCCTTGTGAACACTGTATTAAAGGTGGGTACTGAGTCTTTTCAGCATTTGTCATCAGGTGTCTGAATAAGGGATGTTGAAGTATTCTTTTTGTTTTCAGGATCTTCAGAGCACAAATCTTATTGAAGTGTGCATGGCTCTAACTGTAGTCAGCCAGATGTTCCCCAAAGATATGATTCCTGCAATCCTTCCTCTTGTTGAGGAGAAACTTAATCACCCAAAGTAAGAAATGCTCTTTTCCTTTCCAGTCCGATTAGTTACCATGTTCGTTCAAGTGTGTTTATTCATATGATAAACTATAGCATGAAAAATCTGCTTGAATGTTATGATATCTAAGGATTTCTTTTTGCATATTTGTAGGGAAATCATTCGACGAAAAGCAGTCCTGGCACTCTATAAATTCTACCTAATAGCACCGAATCAAGTTCAACACATCCACAACAAGTTTCGTAAAGCTCTGTGTGACAAGGATCCTGGTGTCATGACAGCCTCACTACACATCTACTTACAGATGATCCAGGTAATCCGTTGTTCTTTAATTATTTTATTTCACCACAACATTAACTGTGTTTAGAAATCATTACACATCTTGGTTAGATCTACTGTGGTGTAATCCAGTCGTGTTGCATATTCCTCTTTTGTTACAGGAGAATCCAGAAGGTTATAAGGACCTGACGGCAAGTTTTGTCACCATACTGAAACAGGTGGTGGGAGGAAAGCTGCCAATGGATTTCAACTATCACAGTGTCCCTGCTCCATGGCTGCAAATTCAGCTTCTCAGAATACTGTCAGTACTTGGGAAAAATGACCAGAGGTAATTATTACTTATTTTGTCCCCAGATGAAGTGGTTGTTTGGTTGTTTGGTTATGTGGTTGTGCTCTGTACTCGAATCCCTGCAAGATGTGAGTCTGTTCTTTGTTCGACAGTACAAGTGAGATCATGTACGAAGTCCTTGACGAGTCTTTACGAAGAGCAGAGATGAATCATAACATCACCTATGGTATGTCAGATGTACCAGTTCTTGTAAATTTGGTTGTTTGAGATCATTTAAGTACTCTCTTTAACCACTTGTTGAATTCTCTCTCTTCATTTCCAGCAATATTATACGAGTGTGTAAAATGTATTTACACAATTCATCCCAAATCTGATCTTTTGGAAAAAGCTGCAAAGTGCATTGGCAACTTTGTTCTGTCGCCGAAGATTAATCTCAAATATCTCGGTAAGATCCAAAGAAAACCTTAAAGTCATTTTTCTCATTGACAGTCAAGATTTCAGATATTCACTGTAGTAAATTGGTTAATTTGGTGTTTCTGTAGGTTTGAAGGCCCTCACCTACGTGGTCCAGCAGGATCCTAAACTGGCCCTGCAGCATCAGATGACCATCATAGAGTGTCTCGATCACCCCGACCTCATCATCAAGCGTGAGGTGAGGCAGTTTACTGTGGTTGGCTAGAGTTTGGTGTAATGGATTTGTAAGTTTACAGTATTATCAACCTTCTCTTGTTTTCTTGTAGACGCTTGAGTTGCTCTTTCGGATCACTAATGCCCAGAATGTCATGGTCATTGTGGAGAAGATGCTGGAGTTTCTGCGCATCAGTAAAGATGACTACACTACTATTGACCTGGTGGGGAAGGTGGCAGAACTGGCGGAAAAATATCCTTTCAAGTGTGTTGATGATACTGCGAGCAGGAGACAGCGCTCAGTGTTAAATGTACACATGGAAAAAGGAACAACCCTTACAAAAATAAACAACAGTCACATAATTAAGCTGATATAAATATTGAAATAATTAATCAATCATCTTAATTTTGCACAAATTCTTGCTTCTGACAGTTGTAGTAAAGACAAAGTCAGTAAAACCTGGTATAGGTTGAAGACACTGTTTTTATCAGAGCGTATAGAGTAGATCATTATTGGCCTATCGCCGGTATTGGCGTATATGTTATCCAATATGAAAACTGTGACACTTGTGGTAATACGTTAGTGTCATTGCAAAGTTTATCCAGCAGAGTGCACTGTGATTTACAAAACTGTGGCGAGCTGCACAGATGAAGAGAAAAACAGCAGCTCTCTACAAGGTCAACCAGAATTGGTCGACAAAGTATATTCAATGTTTCACATACATTGAATATATTCAGTGTATATTCTTTTATTTGTTTGAGAAAGCAGCTGTCTAATTAATAAAATCACTATATCGGCCGCTGTATCGGTTATGGGACAGGCTCTCATTTTTATGAGTGTAGCATAAAGAGATGTATGACTCTCCTGTAGACTTCTACTGGCGGTTCAAGGCCTAAATGATAGGTAATTCTCTGAGTTGAGAAACAGAAATCCAAGCCTTTAATAACATGCTGTTCAATCTTTTATACCCTGTTAGTTCCTCTTTGTTGTGTTGATTATTTTCCTATAACCCATTATACATATGCACCAGACAATGAATGGTTCATTGAGACCATGAACACAGTGTTTTCAGTGGGTGGAGACATGATGCAGCCTGACATCCCAAACAATTTCCTTAAACTGCTGTCTGAGGGTGAGATAACCACACCACTTAACTTATTCTCTACTGTTGTTATGTGGTGATAATTCAGTAATTTGACACTGATGTTGCTTTTGATTGATGGATTTTGTCATGCTAATGTCTCTTTAATGGCTCAGGATTTGACAGCGTGGAGGAAGACAGGAAGTTGAGGCTGTTTGCTGTGGATTCATATGTTTCTCTGCTGCAAGGAGAGCCTGGCAAACTGCCACAGCGCTTCCTCCAAGTCATCAGCTGGGTGAGTGCTGTC